TTGCAACGCAACAACTTCTTTTACCGAGCAGCTTCGATCTTGAATAAACTTCCACCACCATTCTTAGCTTTAAATTCAGTGGCTCAATTGAAAACGGCGTTGAAGAAAGTAGATTTATTGCAGTTAATGGGAATTGATGATGTGAAGTAATTTTTTTTAGAATTATTTTGCCATCCTTTCTTTGGCATGATCCGCTGCATTCTTTCGATGTTATCAATCGGTACTTTGGTAGCATGGGCCTCAAACGGTTTCCTTTCTTGCTTTTTTTGTCCTGTCTAGCTCTGTTAGTCTCATTGTACTTTCAAAAATTCACTCATCCTTCCTCGGGGCTTTAACCAGCTAGCTTCCGCTCGTAGGCTCGCTGGCCTCCACAAAAGAGGGACTTTAATTTCTGAAAGACAGTGAGACTAACAGTTTTAAGAAGCTATACACCAGAGTAACTACTCTGGCCACTCCTTACCCAAAGATAATCCCAGGGACAAGTTTTGGTGCCTTAGTTTCTCCGTGCTTCCTGCAGGGGACATGCCAACGATTGGTTCATACGTGTTTTTTTCATGTGTGTTTGATTAACCATGTGATGGTGATATAGTGTGTTTGTTACTAACCGCTCCGACTAGGATCAAAGAGCACTTTTTGGTGCATTTAAATAAATAAATAAATAAATAAGTAATTCACGTAGGAGATGAGGGCTGGTGCCGGTGGTGGAAATATTCAGCAGAGATTGGCCTAATCTATGCTTAGATTTTTTCAGTAAAAAAAGTTATGCGACATAAAGTTCAGAAAAACCCGGGACCTCCATGTCAAGTTTAAAGAGTTAGCTATTCTCTTAACTTGATCCCTCTACCCTCAGTTTCTTTCCTTTGATCTAACATAACAGTTCTGACTAGATTCTTTTATCGTTATAACATCAATATAAATAGGGGGGAACATAATTGGGGAGGGGACCACCGAGCACCCGGGGAGTGCCAGCTCATCTGAAGTTGGTGGCACCGCCCAAGTCGGCGAGGGGACTGTCGGACTCTAATTAGTCTGCTCTCGACAATATATATTAGGTTGTATCGAAAGTTCTGTCGTTTCATTTTTGAAAATCTGTAACTTTGCGGTGTTTCAACGGATTCGCTTGCCTGTAATTTCATTAGATAGAATAAGTCTTTTTCTTCAAACCCTGTTTGCGGAGCTTCTGTTTCACGTTGGGTGCGGAGATAAAAATAGAAAACTAAGACCATGTAAACTTTGACCATTTTAAGTTAGGTCACCAAAAATCTGGAATGCTGCAGAAAAATCTGAGATCGTCAGTACATATGTTTTTTGGCCTACCCTTGAATCTATGAAAAGTTTGTGCCGTTTGGACGTCTCTGTGAGAAGTTATGAATATCGAGTTTACTATGGGAAACACCAAAATTAACTAATTCGTCAATTTTAGCGAAAATCATAACTTCTCACAGAGACGTCCAAACAGCACAATTTTTTAACAGATGCAAAGGATAAATCAAAAAATATATGTACTGGCGATTTCAGATTTTTCTGCAGCATTCCAGATTTTTGGTGGCCTAACTTAAAATGGTCAAAGCTTATATGGTCTTAGTTTTCCATTTTTCTCTCCGCACCCAGTGTGAAGCGCAAGCTAAGCAAAACAGCATTCGAAAGCGAAGGATTTACTTTTTCTAATAAAAATGTAAGGAAGTAAATCCGTTGTGACAGCGCAAAGTTATGATTTTTCAAAAATGAAACGACAGAACTTTCGGTACAACCTAATATATATAATAGGTTGGTCCGAAAGTTCTGTCCCACCATTTTCAAAAAACCATAACTTCTTCTCAAAAAGATGGTTTTGCATGGCTAAAACCTTGTTGAAAAGAGCAATTTATGCGCTTTCTAAAAACGTCTTGGCTGCTATCCAATAAGCTCTGATTGCAGAGATAAAATTGGAAAAATGAAATCACTTCAAGTTCGGAATTTTTAAGCAAACCCGTTAAAAAATCTAAAACCGTGCCATAAAATCCAAAACAACCATTATTCTAGGTTTTCTGGTGTTCTCTTTCTATAGAGCAAAACTCGCGCTAATCGAGCCCTTCTTAGAAAGGTTATGATTTTCGAGAAAAAATGCCAAAAAATCAGTTCCTTAACACGTTGACGACAGTGTCGCGCAATGGTGCGCGACAGGCAGTCTGTCCCTGTGGACGATGTCGCGCAATGGTGCGCGACACCCTAAACACCAGTTCGAATGTGCACAATGGTTCCAATTTGTGTTCATATAATCAGTTTAGGCTCGGAAGTTTTTCATGTTGGCCCCGCCCCTCTTTTGGCAAACTCCGCCCACTCCGTTGCTCTGTACAAAAAAATTTTTTCGTTCTCAAATCGCATAGAAAAGCTCGTAGATGACTGGGGAACCTCAAATAATCTTGATTTTGACCCCGCGCCCCATTATGCAGGCCCCGCCCCCTGAGTGGCAAGCTCCGCCCACTTTTCAAAAATGCCGGAATTTGCACGAATTCATTGATTTTGAGGTAGAGTCGGTAGAGTCCATTTCTATCTCAAAGTCGGGAGGATGCGGCAAGTCGTCTCAAAGCGCTTTTTGCGCACATTTGAAGAAGTGGAGAAGCGTAAGTTTACACGTTTTGTGAGCTAAAATAATTTGGAGCCTCGGCTGAGGTCGGGACTATCAGCTAGTATGAAATGAAACTCAAAATTCTGTGGCACTATTGTAAGTTGAGCAAACTATGTGCTGACTGAATGTTTTCATGAGAGCTTATTTTTGAGAAAATCAGAACCGCAAAATAAAATGGATACGCAGATCGTGGACTTACTGTTTTCTAACACAATCTTTGTTGATTAGAAGAGCGGGCTATGAAACTAATTACTGTTTGCTAAGACCTATTATTCATAGTGTTTTTGCAACCTTCCCCATTATTTGGCGAGGATGCTTATTGACATTGTAGCTCGACTTGTTTTCTTCTGCTTTTATCTCCGTTGTGTAATTAGAAGCTCCGACAAAGCCTCATTACAAAGCACATAATCTCACCTTTTTTCGTAACAATCAATATCGGATCTCGAAGATAACATAAAATTTCTTCTAATACGGTAAATATCTCTTTTCGTTCAACCTGGTACTTGCTACTCCCTGATGTGCATTTCCACTCATAGATGCTGACGTGGAACCTTTCTGACAGACAGTCTTTTGTTTCTTTACAATGTGAATTTTCTTAAAGGAGAAAAAGGCAGCCAAAATATACACAAGTTCACGACAGCCGAAAGCAGCGGTTATGCTAAAACACCTTCTTTGTCACAGATTCCCAAATCCTGACTTTGCTAATGTTTAAAGGAGACCAAAGTTTTGAGCAAGAATTCCCATGCATCAGGGCTTTTCTAGGTTTTTCGTTACACATGGTTGTGGTCGGTGTATTAGGCCCTAGGCAAAGCTCACGCGACGAAGTGGCGACCGAGTTGCTTATCGTTTGGAGCGTGCATACCTCTGACGAAATTTCATTTACTTGTACTTCATACAAAAACACTCATAAATAGCAAAAATAGCAATATTTCGTCCAAAAGCACCCACAACTAGCAAAAACGGCAAGATACATTAGTGAAATCGGAAACACGACTTAGAAATTATGCGACGGTCGCCTCGTCGCTCGCTGCAAACGGGCGACGCGACATCACGCCGATTCGGCAAAATCACGACGAGTTCGCCAAAGGGTTATGAACGCCGAAAAGTGTGTGGCGACCCGTCGCGCCGCACAGCCGTCACAAATGCGTCGGGACCACACACTTAAAAGCAATGTCCAAATAAATTTGGGCGCATGGGTGTTTCTCCTGGAATTTGATGAGGGGTCGTAACCAAGGCACTGCCCTAGCGGCAGCGCAAATGGTTCATTCACGACTGAAAAATCCGTCCCCAAAAACCATGTGCGCCGTGATCGTAACACTTGGGACGGGTCCCAGCGCAGGCACGGAGTATTTAGGGATGTATTTCTCAGCTGTGAACGAATCATTTGCGTTGCGCTTTGGGGAGTGCCTCAACAGAACCTCCTCATCAGTTTCCACGCGAAAAGCTCATGTGCTAGATTTGTCTGGACACTGCCTTTAACAGCGTGACCTAGAGCACTTGTCCAAAATAGCAGGACGCGACGCGACGAAATCGCACGAGCTATGGCCTTAACTAAGTTAGAGGAGAAAACGGAAGTTGTGTCGCATATTTCACTCAAGCATCTTCGGTCAATGGTGAGCACGTGGAAAGAGATAAAAAACTACCCTCTCTTTTCCTTTTTCTAATCTTTGCATGACTTTAGTGACCAAACAATTTTCAATAAAAGCGCAACCGAATACGTACAATCCAAGCTTTAGAACATTTGCGGTTGACAACAAAGTTGTTGTGCACAAAAATAAATTGTAGTGATACTTCATTTTTCTCAAGAGAAATCAAAAACCATTAAGTTTTTTTGAGTTCCTTCTTGCTTTTTCTTTTTGCAGCTTTTTTCCCATACTCAGGAGCTTCCGTAACAATAGGTTCTGGTGGTGCCGCATACGGAGCTGGCGGGGAGGCAACAGCTCCCACGGGACCACGAGCAGGACATGGACAGTAGTGAGCATCTTTACCTGGAAGCCCGCGCGATCCAGGTTTACCTGGTTGGCCGTCATTTCCTCGCATTCCTGGCAGACCATTTTCAGGAGGACCCCGACGACCGGGGGCTCCAGGCATACCGGCTGAACCAACAACACCAGGTTGTCCTTGTGATCCCGGTGGACCTGGCGGTTCTTCTGGTCCAGGCATTCCTCTTCCTCGTCTTGGCCTTTCATACCTGGCATTCCTGGAGGTCCACGTGGACCAGGAGGACCAATGTCGCCAGGTGGGCTTAAAGGACCAGGCATACCATTGCTGCCTTTTCGCCCTGGTTCACCAGGTCGGCCCACCTGTCCAGGTGAACCTGGCGGACCTGTGTCCCGGGTTCTCCCATTGGACCCGACGGACTTTTGATACAAGAAGGATCTGGAGGTGGACACTATATTGGTTGATAGACTGTCATGTCATCGTTACCAGGAGGACTGGCATTCCAGGCATTCCTAAATATATTCAGTATAATGCACAGAGTAGGGAAATTAACGCGACATTGCTGACCTGGAGCTCCTGGAGGCCCAGGTGGTCAGGGTGGCCCAAGTGGGCATATGATGGGCGTAATCCCGCAGACGCACCATGGAGGAAGCTGTTGCCTTTTACGACGGAATATTGAATCAAAGAAATTCTCAGGGCGCTTCAATTCTGGAGAGATCATTAGCTGCACATCCATAATCTCTATCCATGCTGAGTCGGTTTCCGTGCGAAAGGCAGCTAAACCAGCGAGAACCTAGTATCAAGCTAGTCATGGTACCTGAGTTTTATAAAACCAGAACATGATAAAATAAACCTACCACTTCGTGGATTTCATTGATCTCCTTGTACAGAGCTGGAATCACGGTTGTGCAAGTTATCATAGCTAGAACGGCACCGACGGAAGCCACCACCACTAGGCTCTTCTCCCTGTTTAGTCGGAATCCAACTGTGACTGTGCGACACCGATCCGGCTCCTTTTAAAGCTCCCTATCGTGTGGTCAGTTGGTCGCTCAAGAATTCTTTAGCTCTTCTATTCGACGCCGATGTTCGACGCGCGCTCCATTCAAAGCTCCTTGGTAGTCAACTTGGTGCTCGAAGATTTCTAAGCTTTTTTTACCGAAATAATGAAGAAATTTTCTAATGTCATCATTTATTGCATTTATGGATATGTCGCTGATATTGCGGTACCTGTTCTCAATTAAAGGGCATTAACTTATACGAAAAAAAAAACATAAAGTGTATGACTACTTCCAGATAAGTACTTTCTGTTTTGTATTCAAATTACTGAATAATTCTGGGAACTCAGCTTCACTTTTACTATTGTACGTATGCCACCATCTACTTATAACACCGTTTAAGGTGAACTGCTAGGTTTTCGCGCATTTTTTGGCCCATTCGGCAACTGATAAATAAACATGCTGAATAGATGGAATTTTTGGAAGTTGGAAATTTTCCCACTATGACAGTTAACAGTGATGCTCAGACTTGTTTGCATTTGCTGATAGATGTTATGTGAGGTTTGTTGAAACTGAACGCCGACATTTTTAGCGGGAATTTGATAATAAAAGTGAGACACATAATAATTATAAAACGTTATAAGAGTTCAAACGAAACGCTTCTTTATTTCAACAAACGTGGAATAGTCCATCATAATTTTGTAATGGTTCAGAAGCAGCGGAGACAAAGGTAGCAGCAGTTTGAACTGAAAAAGTTGGAGTTCCATAGATAAAGTCAAAAGCATTCTCGTAATATAGGATCGACTCTGGCAAGCTTGGCCTGAGAGTTTCAGTTTTAAGTAGCAGTCTTGTGTTTTTCTTTTTTTTTGAGATTCGAGTTAAGGAATGTTTTTTAGAAGCTTCTTGTGCAAAAGAAATTCTTTAATTGGAAAAGTCCTTAATTTGAAAAGTGTAGACAGTGACTCAAGTTGAAGTTAAGCCTTTCGAGAAGCCGGTAGGAAATTGTTTACAGAAATGTCCATGTCCACAGAAATGTTTTGGTAATTTTTTACCCTTCTAATATCTACGTCTACGAAGAGAAACGCTTAAAAATGCAGTTGTTCTTTTTTTGCTCTGCGTATACTTATTACCGCTTATTCATCAGTGCAAGTTCGAAACTTGCACCCATTGATTGAATAGGTACTAATAGAGTTGCGTGCGTTCTATTCTTGCATAGGTTTCCTTCAAAGTAAACCTAGAAAATTCCATTTTCACTTTTTCTCATGTGTGCGTAGAAATGCTTTACTGCTCATGAATGAGATGAGAAGCATCAAGAAACATGCGTGCAGCGGGTGCGCCGCAGAGGTACCTATTATAATAGAAACTGACCAGGGTCCACACTATAAAAGATAGATGAAGGATTGATAAATAGCAATTTTCAGCAGAATAATTAGAAAGTAGGTTTTTTTCATAGGTTTTTTTGAAGGAGATTTTTGCTTCATTAGTCATTGCATCAACATGGGTTTGCAAGGTGTGGTTGAGACGTTTATTTCACCAACTTCTGTATCTTTCGGTGCTAATACTTACAAATCTGTTTTCCAAAACTATTTGCATTTGCAGTTTTCTGACATAATGTGAAGGCTTCTGTACAGATGGCGGCCATTACTTTGCGAAAAAATGTGGAACTGGGCAAGCTATCAATTTATTGCTCCGAAGCTATTATTAGCTTAACAAACGAGTTATACTTTGTGGAGTCATGGTTGGGTTATGATTTATGGAATAATTGTGTTGTACCTAATCTTCTTCAGAAGCATTGCCTTCATGTTCTTTTAGCTATACAATTCAAAAGTCATTAACTTTGTTGGAACAGGGAAAGCGGCATCACATTGTAGCTGTTCGCAAGTTTTCTAAGGTACTCTTAAACAAGAAGGAACTTTATGGGAAAACAGAGAAGGAGGATACAGAGAATCAAGATTTACAGCTGAATTATAAAAATTATGCAAACAGTTTCCAATTTTCTTCCATTCTCTTAGAAATTCCTTGAAAACAGCATGTTTATGGTGGACTCTAAGCACTATTCTTAGTCGCAGAACTCCCTTTGACTTTTTCTTAATTGAAAGCTCCTCTTAATTCTCCACGGCCAAGGTTGAATGACTCAAAGGATGCTCTTCTAATTGTTATTCACTCTCTGAGTAAGAGACACGAGCATGCTTTGCGTACGTTTGATTAGCAACTCTGTAACTATTAGCAGTTTTTGGTGAACTACTAGTGGAATTTTGTGGAAGAACATGCTTGAACTCGTGGGGTTCAACTTTTGAACATGTTTTTTCGAGAACTCAATGTAAATTGATTGAGCCGCGTCGGAACTTACTTATGGACTTGTTAAACAAAGTATGCAAAGCGTGATCGTGTCTCTTAGTCAAGAATGAATGGTAAAGCTCGATGACAGGATATCCCGATAAAAACTATCATGAATTTGTCATGAACTGTAGTCGGGGTTGAAGAGTATTGATGTAATATTTTTGCAAGCCTGACGAACCTTCTCTTTGTTGGAAACAAAGAGAAAAGGTAAGGAAAATACAGTTGAAGTGGAGACGAAAATTAGGTTTTTAAGTTTTTCGTCTTGAATGTGGCCTGAAACTTCGTTGCAGTGAAAACCAAGCAGCGGTGGTCATGTTTGTACAATTGTCGCTCCACTGTTTTCAACTCTCCCTGATAATGACTTGACTGTCACGAAAGCGAGGGTATCGAAAGTAGAATCTTGAATTTGAAGACATAAGACATTGAAACTTTGCCGGAAATTCAGAAACAACTCTAACACACAGGGTATTTTTTTAAATGTAGGCCTTCTACCGTTTGTGCCATTGAATGGCTTGATATGGTGGGTAGCTTCTCTACGTGCTTTCTATGTTACGCCCACTTGTCTGCTTCTGTTTCTTGCTTATGATAACGTTCCGAGAGAATATTTTATTGTATTTCAGCGAGATTATTCATATCAACGCAATTATACCGCATAATTCTCAGGATTTCTTTGCCTTAAAGATCTTAGAATAAGTTTTGCATAATTTGTTATGCGCATAATGAGCGCGGTGAGCAGCAGGTGTCTTGATAAAAAAAACCCTTCGTACATTTTCGTCACACACCTTCGCTTCAGCGTTTTCTTATCTAGCAGCCTTTTCAAAAGAAATGTACGATAACTTCTTTAGGCGATCAGACATGGTCTGTAAAATCCACCAATGTAAAAAACTTAGAGAAACCTTTCATGAAACCTGCAGTCATGCTCAGGCTTTCATGTGAGCTTCTTCGCTAAAAAAATAAAAGCCGTACCACTTAACGAATTGCTTTTGATAGCACACTAGACAAGATTTGTTTGCTTTATTAGGAAACAGTAGTGCACGCTTAGTGTCAAAAGAAATCAAAATTTTTGGTTTTTGAATTTTGATATTTTCATGCGGGGTTGACAATTTCGCTAATGTACTTGCTTTGCTGAAGCTAGTCATAACAGTCGACTTTATTTAGGTAAAACGAACAAATTCGGCAATGCTCGATTTGCTCGTGGTAAGAATTTTCTCTTCATCTTTCACTCATGAATAACAAACTTTTAGGCGAATAGAAATGTATCATAGATTTCACACCAGATTTAGTTTTCTTTTGCAGGCTTACATCCTAACTGTGATCGGCTTGACTGCTGGGCAGATAAATACTTGTAAGTTTATACAAAAATGCTTTTCAAAGCGATTATCTCTTAGGCCGATGTGATGGTCTTAAAAGCTACCCATGCGGAGGGGAGAAATACACATTTTTTGCCTGTCGAAAAAAAATATTCACCAGCGTAACTTTTGCGGTAACGATAGTAAAAGGTTCTGTAGAATTAGGGACTGCCCTGCAGAAAGCAAAAAGTGCGTAAGGTTAAGAATGAGTAAAGTTTGGTTTCGTATAGTATGAAATAATACCGCACACGCGCATGATTGCACTTCAAAGCTCATGAGAACTTCCAAAAACTTCACCATGTTTTCAGTAGCCCAAAATTAAGAAGCTTCAAAAGCCTACCACTGTCAAGTAATGCAGAATCGTTTGTCTGTTGTCATTTGCTACTTCTGTACTCGCTTGGACTTTTTCGGTCAAAATTTTACCCGATTAGAAATAACACCATATAGCTAAAGCGACATTTGCCCGAAAGGGAAATTTTTACTAACGAAGGCTGGTACATTGAGTGTATCTGCTAGTTAGGGAGCAGTCATATGGAAAGAGGCATATACATGAAAATAAAGCTAAAAACTCTTGGAGGCAGTGTAAACAAGTATCATATTCAAAGAGATTTTAAGTTTCATTCATATAGCCACACTAACAAAGGAACGATACTTGATGTCCATGGCCTTTTGAGATGAAACGTATACCAACACGCTCGTTTTGGAACGCTGATTCCGAATCTGACTTCCGTTTCTGCTAAACGTTTCTCTAAAAGAAGTTCTGAAGGAGTTTCGCGTCAATGGTCGCCTAAGAGAAATACGTTCGAGAATGCCTCACTTTCAAAAAAAAAGCTTTATTGAGGCGATGCAAAACTGAAGAACATAAAGGGACTCGAACCTATCTGCATTAACTTGCGAGGCTGTCCACACGAGCCACATCTTAGCGGCGGTTTTGGCATTCCGACCATATTTCCTTTGCTGCGATATTCCTTCATAACTTTTTTTTTCAGAGAGAAACGTTTAGCAAAAACGGAAGTCAGATTTGGAATCAGCACTCCAAGATGAGTGTAATGGTATACCTTTCATTCCAAAAGGCCGTGAACACCGAGGATCGTTTCCTTGTAAGACAGAGCATCATGCAATTTTGAAATAGCCGGACGTGGCATAATAGTTTTTGCCAAATTAGTGATTCATCTGTTTCCTTACTTAGCTTTCTTGAAGCTTCTTGATAACAAACTTTTACGACTATTACGAAAATAAAAAGTAGCAAAGAGACGCTATAGTCTTTGCTTTAATCTACGTTTATACAGTAATGATTTGGCTTTTTCGCAAAAGAGATGAATTCGACAAATTGAGAATTTAAAGGGAACTTTTGAATCATCACGTCTTTCGCGATAATCAGGTGAGCATATGTGTCAGTTTTTCAGCGAAACTACCCTAATTCAAAAGAGTCGCCATTATAAAAAGCGCTGATCTAAAGAAAAGCTCTGATACGTTTCCTCAGCGGAAAACCTTTTCACAGCTGTTAAATTTATAAGGCTACGACTTTACTTTGGATTAACCCAAATTCAAATGTTTAGCCAAAGTTAAAATTTCTCAACTCAGGTATTCAACAAGGAGTTGTTATCATTGCAATGGAGTGCGCAAGTCGCAAATAAGTCTATATAAGTCTTTTTAAAGCGCTCCATCAAAAATTATGTCTTAACCGCCCACTAAGTGCCTAAGTTAAAACTGTAAAAAGCATTTGCGCTCCTCTTCAGACTAACTCTATACTGCCCCCTTGTTAGAGGCAATGCCCACACAAATTCGCATGATGTTTTCATATGAAAAGCGAATATGAGTTCCAAATAAGGCAAGAGGCAGCACAGATAATTCATCCAAGCCGAAAAAATGATCCCCAATGTAGCATTTGGAAAGTGCCTTTGTGTGGTCTCGCTATCAGTTTTTACAAGAAGACTCCTGAGCCCACGTTTGCCTTAATCGTTAAACTATTGAAGGTTGATTGTAAATGCAAAAGTTGGAAACAGGGCTCGGCGCAGGCGGCATGTAAGCAATCTGGATATCGTTTTCGGGACAAAAAGCAAAGGGGGTTCGTTTTTGAGACCGAAAAGACACAGAAATTACGACGTTTTTTGAGTTGACGTTTCGTTTTTCTGGGATTTTAGGGATTATGATCTAGTCAAAGGGGACTTGTAAAAATTTGCAAAAGTCAAGAAACACATCGTTTTTTGCATTTTCAACTAGCCACCTCGTGCCAAGCCCTGGTTGGAAAACCTTGTTTTTAGCGCTTGAACTGCCGAAAATATCTGACAACACTTTTGAAGTATAATACACAAAAACATTCATAAAAAGAGCTACTCATATTGCACCCCCACTAGAAACGTCAACGCTTTATCTTCCTTACCCTAGAGTCTTTCTGGATCTTCAAAAGGGATTATCATGTGATTTCCTTACCAGTTAACATCCGTAAGAGGTGATCATTGTTTCCCATAATGAAACACCAATTGCTGACTATTGGGCTAACGGGATGGGATTAGGTTTCAAGTAAACAAAACAATTTCGACAGCACTTTTTACTTTCAGATGAACTTTCTACGCAAACATTTTTGACTTATTGTAAAGCATATTTTTGAGCTTTGCATGAAAGCTTCGAAATTCCTGGTGGGCAGTTTGAGTGAACTTATCCTGCTGAATACTTCAAAGATCTGGATACTTTTTAACGGTTACTATAGCCTCTGAGTACGTTGCATTATCAAGTCCTGTCACAATAAAATCGATGTGGCACTCCACTAAACGAATTTCGCTGACATGTTTAGCACTACTATCGCAAAATGTTGCTTCAACATATATAACATTTTTAAAGACACTCTATGAACTGCATACCGCCCTCAGTCTATTTGCTACGAGTTTCAGGGACAACGTCATCGCTGCAGTGCCGATATGGTGCCTGCCTACCACCATTTGTTTGCATTAGTGGTGTTTGCGTGCGCGGTGCACAATGCACGACTAACAATGATTGCATCGATCCACGATTCGAATGCACACAGCGGAATTGCATTCCAAAAACCCAATTTAGGAGACAAAATGGTTTTCTGATGTGCTCTAGTGGTCTTTGTTTTTCACAATCTATGTGCGTGCACAACTTCTGCGTAATTAACCTGCGATGTCGCAATGATTACGATTGTGGCAGTCCACAAATGAGATGCATACAGTCAGTCTGTGTTGTATTGTCGTCTCAAATGCCAATAGGCTCATCATCTTCATCTGGAAACTCAAGTATATCGCAGGTAAATTCAGGCTCATCAACTGGAAAGGGGAATCCAGGCTTATCAACTGGAAACCTACGTAATCCGCAGGGAAATTCAGGCTTATCAACTGGAAACCTAAGTATTTCGCAGGGAAAACCAATGCCTTGCCAGCAAGGTGCCTGTTCGGCACCATTCACATGCGTTGATGACGTTTGCGTGCAAGGTAAAGTTTGCTCGACCACTACTGATTGTGATCCAAGATTCGATTGTAATCAACGGATCTGTATCCCAAAACCTGAATGGAGGCCGGAATCGAGCCTGCTGATGTGCCCTTGCTCTTCATCAGCTGCGTGCGTGGACAACTTCTGCGTTGTAACCAAACCTTGCCAGAATGACTACGACTGTGGAAGTCCACAAATAAGATGCATACAGTCAGTCTGTGTTGTATTGTCGTCTCAAATGCCAATAGGCTCATCATCTTCATCTGGAAACCCAAGTATATCGCAGGTAAATTCAGGCTCATCAACTGGAAAGGGGAATCCAGGCTTATCAACTGGAAACCTACGTAATCCGCAGGGAAATTCAGGCTTATCAACTGGAAACCTAAGTATTTCGCAGGGAAAACCAATGCCTTGCCAGCAAGGTGCCTGTTCAGCACCATTCACATGCGTTGATGACGTTTGCGTGCAAGGTAAAGTTTGCTCGACCACTACTGATTGTGATCCAAGATTCGATTGTAATCAACGGATCTGTGTCCCAAAACCTGAATGGAGGCCGGAGTCCAGCCTGCTGATGTGCCCTTGCTCTTCATCAGCTGCGTGCGTGGACAACTTCTGCGTTGTAACCAAACCTTGCCAGAATGATTACGACTGTGGAAGTCCACAAATAAGATGCATACAGTCCGTCTGTGTTGTATTGTCGTCTCAAATGCCAATAGGCTCATCATCTTCATCTGGAAACCCAAGTATATCGCAGGTAAATTCAGGCTCATCAACTGGAAACCTAGGTATTTCGCAGGGAAAGCCAATGCCTTGCCAGCAAGGTGCCTGTCCAGCACCATTCACATGCGTTGATGACGTTTGCGTGCAAGGTAAAGTTTGCTCGACCACTACTGATTGTGATCCAAGATTCGATTGTAATCAACGGATCTGTATCCCAAAACCTGAATGGAGGCCGGAATCGAGCCTGCTGATGTGCCCTTGCTCTTCATCAGCTGCGTGCGTGGACAACTTCTGCGTTGTAACCAAACCTTGCCAGAATGACTACGACTGTGGAAGTCCACAAATAAGATGCATACAGTCAGTCTGTGTTGTATTGTCGTCTCAAATGCCAATAGGCTCATCAACTTCATCTGGGAACCCAAGTATATCGCAGGTAAATTCAGGCTCATCAACTGGAAACCTAGGTATTTCGCAGGGAAAGCCAAAGCCTTGCCAGCAAGGTGCCTGTCCAGCACCATTCACATGCGTTGATGACGTTTGCGTGCAAGGTAAAGTTTGCTCGATTACTACTGATTGTGATCCAAGATTCGATTGTAATCAACGGATCTGCGTTCCAAAGCCTGAATGGAGGCCGGGATTCAGCCTGCTGATGTGCCCTTGTTCTCCACCAGCTGCGTGCGTGGATAACTTCTGCATTGTAAAGAAACCTTGCCAGAATGACTATGACTGTGGAAGTCCACGGATAAGATGTATCCAGAACCTCTGTATTGTTTTATCACAGCCACAGACAACACCGAAAGTTGGACCCAATCTTCCATATTCTGACCAGCCACATATAATACCGCCGCCCCCGCCTCAGCCGATAACCGACTGCGTGAACGGTGCTTGTCCCGAAGGATACACGTGCATAGCTGGTTCTTGCGTATACGCGAAGAGTTGCAAGGTTGACTCCGATTGTGGTGGCTACGGCTTTAAATGCGTTAAACATGCGTGCATTCAAGTTAGTTTTCAAATCATGCAAAAACCATACATATTAGAAGCTCACAGTTAGTTTTGATGTGTTTGACTGATTGTTTGAAGCGATTTCGATTCCCGAATAAAGATCAAGATCACGTTGTTATATGCACTTTTCTCCCAAATAAACACAATGAGATTCTGTGCTGCAGCCATAATTTCTTCCAACCATACGTTTGTCCATTCGAGAGAAAAATTAACGTTTAGTGAGATCATAGTGAGTCGTATATTAAGTTTGAAAGTACGGAATTTTCAGGAAAGACACTCAAAGTAATTGCGACAGAATCATTCATCTTTTTCTATGTTCACTCTAACGTCAACACCAGGAAAAGTTTTTGCCTCTGTCGTCACCTATAACAGTTATTGAGCAAAATCTTCCAAAGCGGCACTACACTCGACAGCATTCTCGTTAGCAAACTAAACACGTGAAATACTCGGTCATAGAAATAACTGATTGGCATACTATCTCCTACATTTTCCGACATATGCCATGATACAGCTCACATTTCGTCACACCTCTACAGATGAGTTGTTTGCGCCTTCTGCAGAAAAGCTTGTTCCCCTCCCCTCCCCCTTTGCCAAGGGCTGACTTCACTGCTCCAAGGCTACAAATATTCAATAGAGATACTAAATCAGGAATATTTTCCAAACAATCATTGTCTGTGAACAGCACGCCCCCTTTGACACTTCCGTATTTTCTCAGTTATTCGAAAACGCAAGAAGTGCAAGTAAGTTTGGCTATGGAAGAAGTTCTGGCAATGTCAGAATGGGCTGTATTCGAATATCTGTATGGGGTGAGGAGTACATGCCGCCGAAGGGGGATGGTCACACTTGCTACAAAGTATGTAATAGGGGAACGAAGGCAATTTGAGCCGTCTTTTGCGGCAAATAGTCCTTCTGCAGTGTTGTTGCATGTCGTTGCAGGAGGACCAGTAGACCGTGGAAGCGGCTCAAACTGACGGCTTTGGTCTATTTCAAAGTATGCATTCCACCCGTTACCGAAAACGAATTTCCACAACAGTCTTCTGGGTTGGAGACTATTGGCGGCGTATAGTCCCTTACCCATCTGTATGCGTGCAGCGACATTAGCACTGCGCGACGCTGATTTCTCTACGATTTGTAACTAATCAGTCTCGGAACATACACTCCGACAGATTTTATTTTATACAGTGTATATTGAAGGCAGTTTACCCAAAACTTCGCCTCCCATATTTCTGCCATTTTGGGGCTTTTCGTGGCTCTGATTACGGTTATGATGTCCAAATTGTCTAACTCCCAAAAACCGGTTCTTGAGGACCCTGTTTTGAGGGCGGAGACTTCTTTCGGTTCATGGGTAGGCAGGGCTTGATAGGATTTGAGCTTGACTTGATAGCACTTTGGCTCTTCCATGCCTATTATCATTATTCAGAAACAACATGAGAGGACCGGGACGACGCAGATGCCCCTCTCCTAGGGCCTACATTCGGATCGGCACTAATCGGTAGGGGTTATACTTAGCCTGGACGCTGCCTTTGAAAGGATATCGAACATCTGGTCGTAAGTCATTCATTTATTATGAAGTCTTTGAAGAAGCTTAAGAACTATTTTGTAGAGCTGGCTTCAACTTAGATTTACAGCATGGTCCATTTCCATCTCAAAGTCGGGAGGATGCGGAAGTCGTCTCAAAGCGCTTTTTGCGCACATTTGAAGAAGTTGAGAAGCTTAAGCTTACACGTTTTGTGAGTCAAAATAATTTGGAGCCTCGGCTGAGGGCAGGACTATCAGCTAGTATGAAATGAAACTCAAAATTCTATGGCACTATTGTAAGTTGAGCAAACTATGTGCTGACTGAATGTCTTCATGAGAACTTATGGTTTTTGAGAAAACCAGGGCAGCAAAATAAAATGGATACGCAAATATTGGACTTACTGTTTTCTAACACAATCTTTGTTTGATTAGAAGAGTGGGCTATGAAACATTTGTTACTGCTTGCTAAGATCTATTATCCTCATAGAGTTTTTGCAACACTCCCCGTTTTTTGGCGAGGTTGCTTATTGACAGCTCTACTAAAATTCTTTCCTTTTGCTTTTATTTCCATTGTGTGATTACAAGATCCGCCAAGGCCTCATTACAAAGCACATAATTTCCCCTTTTTTCGTACAATCGATATCAGATGTCGTAGGTAACAAAAACAATTCTAACACGGTCATTTATCTCTTTTGGCTGAACCTAGTACTTGCTATTCTCTAGTGTGCATATTCACTCATATTTGGTGACGTAAAACCTTTCTGACAAACAGTCTTTTGTTTCTTTACAATGCGAATTTTCTTAAAGGAGAAAAAGGCAGAGCAAAATATATACAAATTCGGGACAGTCGAAAGGAGTGTTTAGCTAAAACACCTTCTTTGTCACAGATTCCCAAATCCTGAGTTTGCTAATGTTTGAAGGGGTCAAAGGGTCTGAGCAAGAATTTCCATGCAACAGGGCATTTCTAGATTTTCGTTAGACATGATTGTGGTCGGTGTATTAGGCCCCGGGCATAGCTCACGCGACGAAGTGGCGACCGAGTTGCTTATCGTTTGGAGCGTGCATACCTCTGACGAAATTTCATTTACTTGTACTTCATACAAAAACACTCATAAATAGCAAAAATAGCAATATTTCGTCCAAAAGCACCCACAACTAGCAAAAACGGCAAGATACATCAATGAAATTGGAAACACGGCTTAGAAATTATGCGACGGTCGCCTTCGCTCGCTGCAAACGGGCGACGCGACATCACGCCGATTCGGCAAAATCACGACGATTTCGCCTGTGGCGATCCGTTGCGCCGCACAGCCGTCACAAATGCGTCGGGACCACACACTTGAAAGCAGTGTCCAAACAAATCTAGGCGCGTGGGTGTTTCTCCTTAAATTTGATGAGATGCCGTAACTAAGGCACTGCCCAAGCGGCAGCGCAAATGGTCCATTCACGGCTGGGAAATCCATCCCCGAAAACCATGCGCCTGCGCCGTAACCGGAAAACGACGACTCTGCACTTTAACGGTACGTTCGCGCTGGGACCTGCAGGCGCGGAGTGTTTGGGGATGTATTGCCGTGAATGAATCATTTGCGCTACACTGTGTACAGTGCTTTAACTAGAACCTCCTCATCAGTTTCCAGACGAAAAACCCATGCGCTCAGATTAGTTTGGACACTGCCTTTAAAGGCATTGTCTCACCAAAGTTGAGCTCGCGCGGATGTTCCCATATTTTATCATAAGGACCTCTAAATAGACCATTGCAACAAGTCCCACTCAATTTGACCCCTCTACGCTGAGAAAAATTCGCTCGAAGTGGTACGCGGAGAGCGATTTGGTACGCTTGGACGACTCCTTCGGTCTCCCCCCTTACGCGTTTAAGCATGTCCCTCCACTTGGCATCCACCTTCCCTCTGTTGCTGCCACTGTGGTTGAGGCTGAAGATGGAAGATACATCTCGTCCACGTTGCTTCCGCGGGGCCTCCAGAAAACAGGGGTTTGGAAACTTCGTGTGATTTTGAGCCCATACAGTGCTAGACAGGGTCCGATAAGCTTGCAAAATGCAAAAATTTCGGCAATCAAATTTTGGTGAGACACTGCCTTCAACAGCGTGGCGTAGAACACCTGTCCAAAATATTGGTTGGCTAAAAAATAAGTTCGTTTTGGCATACAAATCGAGATAAAAAATGTTCTTTTTGTTTTCAATCTATGATTTTTGTGGGGAAGTGGTTCGAAGCATCCTCTATCATATATCAAATAATCAGGATTTTCTACTGTCAGTAAAGGCAGTCATGCCTCAATATGGCGAAATTTCCAGAAGCTCAATTCTTTGAATTCCTGAGCTTCGTTTTCATGCTGTAATGGATGTAGAGAACAGCACTTTGGTGTTTGGATACAGAAAAGTTTTCCCTATTTAGTGAACTACAAAAAGAACTGTGATCTGCCACTTTGAAAATGTTTACTAAGAAAACCAAATTTACTCATATTTGCGCATTACGAGAAAATAACGCTTTCTCACTTCTTTGCTGATTTTTTTCCTTGGAAGATAAGTTTTACTCAAATAAATTATATGCTCCAATACCCAGTGAAGTGCTCTTTTCAGAGATACCAAATATTGGACAACAATTGTCTATAGCATTTGTAAGAGTTGAAAAAGCGACCGAACTTATTTTTTAGCCAACCTAATAGCAGGACGCGACGCGATGAAATCGCACGAGCTATGGCCTTAACTAAGTTAGAGGAGAAATTGGAAGTTGTGTCGCATATTTCACTCAAGCATCTTTGGTCAATGATAAACTCGTGGAAAGACATAAAAACCTACCTTTTTTCGCTTTTTCCAGATTGTCGCATAACTTATGACCAAAAAATTTTCAATAAAAGCGCAACCAAATACGAGCGGAATCCAAGCTTCAAAAAATTTGTAGTTGACTACAAAAACTGCACAAAAGTAAGTTGTAATGGTATTTCATTTTCAGGAAAACCAAAATCTACTTAAGTTTTCTTCAGCTTCTTCTTGCTTTTTCTTTTTGCAGCTTTTTTCCCATGCTCAGGAGCTTCTGTAACAATAGGTTTTGGTGGTGCCGCATACGGAGCTGGCGGGGAGGCAACAGCTCCTACGGGACCGCGAGCAGGACATGGACAGTAGTGAGCATCTTTACCTGGAAGCCCGCGCGATCCAGGTTTACCTGGTTGGCCGTCATTTCCTCGCATTCCTGGTGGACCATCTTGCCCAGGAGGACCTTGACGACCGGGGACTCCAGGCATACCAGCTGTACCAAATGCACCAGGTTTTCCTTGTGATCCAGGTGAACATGGCGGTCCGGCTGGCCCAGGCATTCATTTTCCTCATCTTCCGTCTTGGCCCTTCATACCTGGCATTCTTGGAGGTCCACGTGGACCAGGAGGACCACTGTCGCTAGATGGGCCTAAAGGACCAGGCACACTATTGTTGCCTTTTCGCCCTGGTTCACCAGGTCGGCCCATCTGTCCAGGTGGACCTGGTGGACCGCGTGGCCCGGGTTCTCCCATTGGCTCCGGCGGACATTTGATACAAGAAGGATCTGGAGATGAACACTGAATTGATTGATAGACTGTCATGTCATCGTTACCCGAAGGGCTGGCATCCCAGTCATTCCTAAATATATTCAGTATAATGCACAGAGTAGCGAAATTAACGCGACATTGCTGACCCGGAGCTCCTGGAGGCCAAGGTGGTCCGGGTGGCCCAGATGGACACATGACGGGCGTAATCCCGCAGACGCACCATGGAGGAAGCTGTTGCCTTTTACGACGGAATATTGAATCAAAGAAATTCTCAGGGCGCTTCAATTCTGGAGAATCATCAGCTGCACATCCATAATCTCTATCCATGCTGAGTCGGTTTCCGTGCGAAAGGCAGCTAAACTAGCGAGAACCTAGTATAAAGCTAGTCATGGTACCTGAGTTTTATAATACCAGAACACGATAAAATAAACCTACCACTTCGTGGATTTCATTGATCTCCTTGTACAGAGCTTGAATCACGGTTGTGCAAGTTATCATAGCTAGAACGGCAACGACGGAAGCCACCACCACTAGGCTCTACTCCCGCATTTTAGTCGGAATCCAACTGTGACTATTCGACACCGATCTCGCTCCTTTTAAAGCACCTTGCAGTCGACTAGCTGCTCGAGAATTCCTAAGCTCTTCTTACCCCCGAGAATATGAAGAAACTTCTAACGTCGTCATATAACGCATTTATGGATATGTCGCTGATATTGTCGTACCTGTTCTCAATTAAAGGGCATTAAGTTATACGAAAAAAAACATGAAGTGTATGACTACTTGATAAGTACTTTCTGTTTTGTATTCAAATTACTGAATAATTCTGGGAACTCAGCTTCACTTTTACTATTGTACGTATGCCGTCATCTACTTATGACACCGTTTAAGGTGAACTGCTAGGTTTTCGCGCATTGTTTGGCCCATTCGGCAACTGACGAATAAACATGCTGAATAGCTGGAATTTTTCCCACTATGACCGTTAACAGTGATGCTCAGACTTGTTTGCATTTTTTGATAGATGTTATGTGAGGTTTGTTGGAACTGAACGCCGACATTTTTAGCGGAAATTTGATAATAAAAGTGAGACACATAATAATTATAAAACGTTATAAGAGTTCAAACGAAACGCTTCTCTATTTCAACAAAGGTGGAATAGTCCATTATAACTTTGCAATGGTTCAGAAGCAGCGGAGACAAAGGTAGCAGCAGTTTGAACTGAAAAAATTGGAGTTCCATTGATAAAGTCAAAAGCATTCTCCTAATATAGGATCGACTCTGGCCAGCTTGGCCTGAGAGTTTCAGATTTGGGTAGCAGTCTTGTGCTTTTCTTTTTTTTTTGAGATTCGAGTTAAGGAATGTTTTTTAGAAGCTTCTTGTGCAAAAAATTCTTTGGTTGAAAAGGTCCTTGAATTGAAAAGTGTAGGCAGTGACTCAAGTCGAAATTGAGCCTCTCGAGAAGCCGGTAGAAATTTGTTTACAGGAATGTCCATGTCCACAGAAATGTTTTTGTATTTTTTTACTCTTCTAGTTTCCACGTCTACGAAGAGAAACGTTTAAAAATCCTATTGCTCTTTTTTTTTGCTCTGAGTATACTTATTACGCTTATTCACCAGTGCAAGTTCGAAACCTGCACCAATGGATTCAATAGGTACTAACAGGGTTGCTTGCGTTCCATTCCTTCGCAGCCTAGAGGTTTCCACTTTCTAGTTTTTTCCACGTGTGCGCAGAGATGCTCTACTGCTCATAAATGAGATGTGAAGCATCAAGAAACGTGGGTGCTGGAGTGCGCCGCCGAGGTACCTATGAGAAACTGACCAGGGTCCACACTATAAAAAATAAACGAAGG